CTGCCCTCGGGCCACGGGCGTTGCCTTGCACACGCCATGCAGGCGCTGCGTGCCCAGGGTCGTGCTTGTCCGAGCACCAGTCCTCCCCTGTCCGCGCCGCGGCCCTGGTGCGCAGCGGCGTGGCACGCGCCGCCGACCAGCACGCGCCCCTCATGCAGGCACGCGAAGTTCCTCTTCGGAACACGCCACGCCGGAAGCCCACGGACTGTCCCACCAGAAAGTGGATTTGATTGTACCCCGGGTGGACTCTTGTGAAAACACTCCCGCACTATCTACATCAAGATTCCCGTCCCACTGGCGGCCCGCGAACTCATTTATTGTGGTTCGCGAAAGATTATTAGGCAAAAGTGAAAGTTCCTTGCAACGCAATGTTTTTCCTTATAAGGCGTCTAGCCCACGCTCTCTGTCGGAGTTAGTAGGGAGTTTTAGCGGCAGACATAAGGAGATATCCTTAAACTCTATTGATCACGTGACGAACGCCTTTATACGGTCGTTATGTACAACGTCCAGAAGAGTTTTAGCAATTGCAACTTTGCGTTATGCATTATAACAAAGGAAGCGTTGAACAGAGAAATTGCGTAATATGTCAAATAATGTAGGCTAGTGGTGAGACATTTAAAACGTTACGAGTGACACAACAACAAATATACATTGTGCATGGAGTTTTAGATTTTGTGGCCCTCCGTGTTGAGTATGCAGTCTGGAATTTTGAATCTGCTTTTCTTGAAAATATAGAAAATACCTAAAAAACAGCGTAGTTCGTTATGAGCGTAAGACATAAACTATCGCGAAGATATGATTTGAACTCTTTTTTCGAGAATTTATTTCCTGTCACCGCTCCAACATATCCCGTTAATTCTTGCCAGCGTTGTAGAGTTAGTGAAGAATAATTGTAACAGCCTCACATACGAGAATCGGTTTACCAGAGTTGGAAAACTTCACCTTTTCCTGTTTTTAGGCGGCCATTTTGCCGCTTGTAAAGTGACCGTAGAGACTCCCACAGGCGTTTACTATTTATGAAGGTACGAGTATAAGGTCATACCTTAGGCCTAAGGTAAGACGTTATGATTTCAAGGTTCGTCACGTGACTGTTAGTGCATAACGCCGCTACCTTACACGTGACGCTAAAACTCCCTAATACTCCCTCCAAGTTAAAATAGATAAAGTTTAGATTTAAGATTTTTTCTAGTAAATTCAGCAATTTGTAAACACCCCACGGTGTTCCCGTATGCAATGATAAGGCCCGATATCAACCATGGTTCCATTCCTCTCTCTCCCCATTTCAGAGAAGCCCTACAAATTGCCGAGATCAGCAATACAGGTATGGATAACCCGAGTACAGTAAATGTGGCCCGCATCCATATTAAAAGTTTTAGTTGTGGCCCTTGAGGCCTTGCAAGTTGGACGCCGTAATCTAGATCATTAATTTAACCTTTCGGCACTCGTGCGTGATTGGTTTACCCGACTCGTACATCGTATTCTGTCCAACATAAAGTTCTTGAAAGGTAATTTTGTTTTCCTTGGGGAAAAAACTTCACACGAGAATTGTAGTAATGCTGATGAGGTGATGTTGACGTAAATTAATTATGAAATAATTAAAGTCATCTTCGACGACTTAATGAGTTTATTTACAGAGACGGCCTTCGACGGATTTGCCGTCATCAGTGTCATAAGTCAAAATATGTCGTGTGTCTCAGTGTTTCAAAAGTTGGGAGACATGCACTGCTACACATAGCCATGTATAGCGGGAATGATGCCGGTAAATCCGAAGGCCGTCTCTATGAATGAACTCATCAAGTTGACAAAGGTGACTATTTTATCATTCACACGATAATATATTGTTAAAAATGGGATTTGTTATTAGTAAAATGAAATTTGAAAAAATTTATGTACACTTTTGTATTTACATTTTTGTATTTACATTACTTTCTTCGCATAGTATTACGCTATAAAGTGAAAGTATTGAAATTCAGTCATAATCCGGCGATTTTTCGACAAAAACTAGTGTGGTAAAGAAAAAGTGAATAAATCTGGTTCCTGAATGTAGTAAAGTATTTCCTCTAAGACATAGTACTGTCAGAATCCAGGTTTTTGTGTGTTCGTGATACCAAAAAATCAATTAACGGCTAAATGTCTGTCCGTCTGTGTGGACAAGGCTAGCAACTAAACCGTTTCGATGAAATTCTCCAAAATTGACATTCCTTGATCGATCTAAACGAACAGGAGGCCCTGAAACTTTATTTATTAAACTTAAGAATATTTTAATTTTTGTGGGTTCAAAAATTCCTCAGACTGCTACATTTTTTTATGACATTTTGTTCACCGATAGAGCAAAGAACAAGACTCATATTCGTTGAACTCTTTGAATTGTTAAAAAATTGCAAGTTATAGAACTAATGGGAGATAGTATGCTCTGTTGTAACATAACAACTAGTTTCTATTTTGTAAAAACTAATTCTGAAACTAGATAAATTCATCTCCTGCTACGAATATTATGCCCGAGTTTCAAATCCATTCACATAACTTTGTGCTTTGCAGTTGTTACAAATTACTCTTGCTTATGAATGGCTTTTACAATTAAAATTAGAGCCCAAAATACACTTAATTGTTGAGACTGATTTTTATGGCATACATTTCATGCACGTGAATGAACAGTGGATTCCAATTTCAAATGTTAACAACTGATAAAAAAGGGCGAAGGCATTCGAAAGATGAAATAAACGAGTTCATATGGAAATAAATACCACCGGAATGAAAGGCCACTTAAAAAAATCTGTTGCTAATAAAAAAAAGAAATTCTGTTGAAATAAAAAAGATGTTATAGTCAATAAGACAGCATCAGGACGAATAATGTGAGAAAGTATCTTTCTTTTGATTAAATCGAAAGGGCCAGACACTGAACTCTCGGGTTTCAGCAGATAGTTTCCTGTACTGTGCGATATTAAACGTAACATTTACTAAAACAACTACACAAAAAATTCTTAAGAGCAAAACACCCATAATATCAAATATGAATTAATTGACAATTTATTTAGAGTTTGAGATTTGTGAGCATTCGGGGCCACGGGAGTAGAGAAATATTCAAATCAGTTAAACCACGATAAATATAACAGACGTTTGTAGATTACTTTAAGGCACAGATGATGGTACATTACTTTAAGGTACAAACAGACGGTACTTTACTTTAAGGTCCAACAGACCATTACCGATATTTGCTTCGGGTCTTCCCAAACTGGATTGTAAGAAAATTGTTTGTTTTTTATGTGAACAGAACACGGGGAACTGCGTAGAAAAAATTATGCTAAAATTGATGATTGTGTCTTACCAGTTTCATGTCGTATGTCGGTGGTGACGGGTTGGAGAAGTCGGGGACTCGGCACAGCCAGGGCCGGAAGCAGGGGGCGGCAGCGATGGCCGGGGGCTTTCTGGCGGTGAATGGTCTCACGCACACCCGCAGGCCAACTGTCCAAACTCATTCTTCTAGAGCTTCTCAGTCCCCATTGCCAACGGCACCCTGCTCGGCCAAAATATGCAACAAAGTGTGCGTTAGAATAGGTAATGTATATTTGAGATACATATTTTTCAGCGAACTGAAAAGATCCATCTTAGCTTACCTTTAGATGTTCTAAAACATTCCATTGCCATCTTCACTATATCCTCGCAATTACTACCCTATGTAGTGATGTAAAGTTTCGTTGACTAGTTAATCATGAAATGGCTGACTTGTAAACTGAATAAAAAAAGTGATTACGAAAGTAAAAAAATTTAGATAACTACCGGCATTATAAATAATATAAGTATATCTTTATTTACATTTTGAATATTTATCCTGTAAGGAACTTCATCAGTATTAATTCATAATAATTTAATCTGCGTTACTTGTTATTTTATGCGTATGAGATAAAACAAGCTGAGCGTTATGACTTATACAGTAATGCTTATGCCATGCATCGTCAGCCATGTCATGATCCAAGAGGACCAACTTAACTTTGTTTCAAATATAAGAAACAAGATATATAAAATATCATCAGTATGTATATTAACACTTCGTGATTTGAGAAAGGTTATAAATAATGGATAACTTCACATCTGTTAAAGTCGGAAATACAATAAGTAATTTTCAAAATTATCTAAACGTTTTAATTTGCTTCATTGCTTTTAGTACAATGATTACGCACCATCTCATTGCATTTGTGGATAACGCTTACGTGTGTCAATTCAAATAAATTCGCGTCAAAAATGTTCACAACAAGATGTGTCACTCTAAAATGTGAGATTAATTCAAAAAATTCTCGATATCCTATTCTTCTCAATGATACAGACTGCACATATTTGCGTTGACGAAAACAACTAAAATGAAATGTGAACTTACACTCAATCATGTTGTTTATAACTTTCACAATTTCCATTTGGAGATTAATGGGTTGCTCATACCCGTGGCAGTGGAAGATTACACGTCCCTATTAATCGGCCTTTCTTTGCCTTCCTCCCAGTCGAATTTGTATCTTTCCCCACCGCACATTGTGTTCATGTCACCGGAACGTAGCAATTGCCGTCACTTGTGCATATACGACCGTACTGGAGACAAGCCTTGCTAAACTTCTTCAGGTACACGGGTAATTCTCTGTCTCGATACGGTTGTATTTGTGAAATAACTCAAGACAGAGATGGATTGGAAGTTTATCACCTGTCTGATAATCTGCCACAACATTAAGAACCTTTATCTTAGATGATAAATTTATTTTATGAGCACAAAATGTATTATAAATTGAAAATGAAAAAAGGTTTGTGACACAAAAATGTAAAAACAATTAATATACAAAACTCAACAAATACATTTATCAGCTTGTAGCAATGAGTATCAAATGCATTATAAAATGATAATGAGTTTGTTGTTTATGAATTTTCCATAGACTTGGTTTAATCGTATAAATACAAAGTAATAATAATATTAATAATAATAATAATAATAATAGTAATAGTAATAATGTACGGCGTACCGTAACATTTTCTTCACCTCTCCAATTTCTTAAAATGTCTGGAGAAAAGCACAATCCATTGTACTCCTTAAGGTCGTATTGCCCTTTAGAGGGTTTGCCCCACCCTTCCACGTGGCAGGGAAACTCCACCCAGTCGCACATCCACTGCCCGAAGGCGTCGAGCGCAGGCCTCAGGTACAGGTCCTCGCGGCAGATCTGCGAACAACAGGCGAACGAACTATTTATTTTTATTCTTAAAAGTGCGCTAATTTGGTTTGCGTATTTTGTACAAGAACATATGGCCAAAGTGTTTGAAACATTAACATTAACTCATGTCTCAGGCACTAGTCCTCTTGGAAGATCTGCGATCGATTAGTCAGACGTCTTCACCATAAAAAATTGTAATTGACTAAAAAACTAAAAAGATTTTAATTAGCATCGATGGTTGTAAAAGTGTAGCGGATGAATTAAATCATTAATGTTGGAAAGTATTGAATGTGTTCCTGAGTGCCGAAGATTCTCGAGTATATCTACTAGAATTAGACCTAACTAACGCAATTGAAACCGGATTGTTAAAACACTATTGAACGCAGACAAGTAAAATTGTTTTGATTAATTATCGTGATCTGCTTTCAATAAGCTAGCTTTTGTCCAATTACAGTCGCTCTCAGTTACCTCGCCTTAAAACAGTTTTGAATGAGTAACATAAAAGCTTGTTACAGTTACGATTCTTTTGATGTAAATTGCTTCATTTGTTATGAGCCGTTCGACAAACGAATGGAGGAAAATTTTAAAAGAAAGATGATGACAAACGTCCATTTCCTATGGCTGGCTCAATTCAGAGTGCTAACTAGCAAATAAGCCTTATGAAATGTATCTTTTTAACAGTTGTAAGCACATTTCTGAAGCCAAGAACTCCGTTGAGAAGGATGTTCACGAATTAGTTAAAAAAAGATTCATAGGTGTAAAAATGACATGTTATCGGTGAGTTTTAAAAAATCCAAGTATAGGCTGTATGCAGCCGCGGAGCTTCTGAAATGCCTTATTCGTGTGCAGTAGGGTATTTATTTATTTATTTGCGTCAAAAGCAGTTAATAACTGTATATGACGTGTTAATTTGATGTTACATTTATGTCCAGAAACAAAACAAGGAGTTATCTCAGCATTTGCTCGAAGATCAGGGAAACTGGACGAAAACCTGATCGAGATGGGGATCATTGATCCAGAAGCTGAAGTACAATACTTGTTACAGGTTCTTTACAATTATACAATCCAAATGATATATAATACAATAAATGTCATTTTAAAAATTAATATTACTTTCTTTTTGGATGCTCAGTATAGTCTCTAATTGTATAGAAGCAGTTGTTCAGCAGAAAAGATTTTACTTGGATCTTTAATTTTTGTATCGAATTTAATTGTTTAATGTCATTTGGCAGGCGTCATAAAATAATGTATATTGTATGTGAATTTTTGTAGTCAGCTGTTGATACTGTTACCTGATTCAAAAAGTCCACGATCACCTTTCACCACAATTCTATCAACTCCTAACCCAGTAATAATAATAATAATAATAATAATAATAATAATAAATAATTCACAGCGGAGACAAAGTTGCTCGCGTCCGTGGTCTACCACACGTGTCCCCTGGGTAACGCTAAATGAGCAACAGTGATTCGCCATCTATGCGATTGACCATTGTGGGCGTGCGGATCCCTACAAGCTGAGGGAAAAGCCTGCACGTCTATACTGATCGGCGCGTCACCAAATGGCTAACATGCCAAGGGTGGGCGTTGGATATAAAAAGGCAGTGCTGAGAGGAGACGCGCAGTGGTGTTTATTGCTGCCGGAGACATTGGCTCGCAGAAAGAAGCACTTCTCCAATAGTGACAAGTATTGCTCAAGAAGTGAGCAAATAAAATCAAACGTTTCCTGCACTTACAAAAATGTGTGCCTTATTGCGATTAATGTTTCACGAGTTCTCGGTTCTAAGAGATTAGAGATCGGTTGCTCTTTGGTGCACGATTTTAAAGCCCTCGGGCATTGCAGATTCTATTGGAGGAACTTATTCCTAAATTAATACACCTATACTTAATTTCATTGGCTACAACAACCAGCAATAGATACAAAAGAATGGGTGGCGCTACACATTTATTTCCTTCTCGCAGATATTAACACACGAACGCTCGAGCGTTGAATTTACCGAGAATACTCCCAAGCCAACTTTCACGGGCAATGTATTTCATTTTGCGAAATTTAATAGCCTACAATAAAACCAACTACGATATATTCGTATATCCCGAGAACAAAATCTACACATGAGCAATGAAACTGTCCTTTGCTAAGACAGAGTACGAAGCACATTTCAGGCACTTATTTTTAGTTCATTCAGGCATTTGTACTTGATGTAATTTGTTATATGTAAATGATTTTCTTATAACATTTTTCAAGTTTCTGCTTCTGGAATCGCCAATCTGCTTTCGATGGAGGTTGAGAGTAGCAGTCATCTACAGTAGTAGAAACATTCCCTATCCAAAAGAATTGATATTTTTAAAAAGTGATTCAGCAGTCAGCACCGTCGAAGTTGCATTAACATAAATATATTCAAGCACGTTGACGGCGACACCTTTAATATTTTTATGAAAAAGTAGAAATTAGTAATAGTTTTCGAACAATCAATGTTTTCAACCAACATAAGACCTGCACCATTTTCTTAAACGTTCTTCACTCTATCCACCAACAGAATTTCATCACAATGAATGAAGCGGGTTTTGAGAAAAAAAATTGTTGATATAAACATTTAAAATTGCCTAAATTTCATCCAAAATTACGCGCTTTTAGTTTCCAGGGCCCTGTAATAAGAGTGTTCTGCTGAAAATTACCCGTGAACATTACTTTTGCATGTGTTATTTATGTTGTCAGTGTACGTTCCTAATGTCTGTCATTTGTTTTCAAGGTTTAATAAATTGTTTGAAGATCACGTGGTTTATCAATGGCCGGTGGCCATAAAGATTGCCTTTTCATTCCTATTCGGTTACGTTACGCTGATATATTACAGGATAGTATTACGAAATATTAAATTAAGATTCATTTATTTTTTTTTATTTTTTTGTATTGATCTAAATGGACTACCTGATTTATGGAATATCTTAAATCGAACAAAAAATAAACGAAAATGAAAATTCCACTCACTACTTCCACTTTCTCTTACTTAATCAAATTATTTTTATTATGAATATCTCAATTATCTGCGAGTTTTTATAATGTATCCATCAAATTTAACAATGTGAGAATTGTAGATCGTGCATGACTCACAATAGGGTTCAAACAAAATGTGATTTGAACTGTGCTTCCCCAAAAACTTCCTGTACATAACACTTCATTGCAACCATTGCATAACGAATATATGAAAAGTGCATGAATAACGTTTTTATTCCTAGAGCATGGCAAGGTCTCACGTAGAATCCCATTTCCCGCTTTGAATTTTGCATGGTATGATTTTGACCTTGCACTTTAGTATTCCAAATTTCATTCAGTCACATAATAGTTGCTGGTGAGGAATTTCCCTAAGACATATAATATTCGGTGACCTACATCTTCATATATTTTTAACACATATCACTTATCACAAAATTCAAATAGTGTTTCTCAGAGATTTGGCAGAGAAATATATCGCGATTTTTACATCATTATGAAGTTAAATGCCGCCAAATAAACTGAATCCTAGCATAACCGAGAGTGAAGAGCCAGAAGCCCAGCGATAATTGTTTATTTTTTATTATTTTCATTTTCTTCAGGAGACTGAAAATCGTTTATATTGTGTAGGATGAGCTTTTCATTCAAAATATAATATCATTTATCTTAAGTGTCTCTTACAATTTGAGTTATTGTAGCAACTTTAACTGTAGAAAAAAAACGGACTATTCACTCGAAATCGGAGCATTCTCAATACATTTTGGAAATAGTATTTGAAGTAGGTACCTTAAGTTTGAGTGTAAAATCGTTTAATATATTACAGTACGACTAGGATATTTAGGCGTTATTTTAAAACTTAAATGTAAAATATATTGTAATTATATACAAATACAAAATCAGAAAGACGAAATTTTTTTCGTTTATAGTGTTAAAAGTTGAATGTTTTTTGTTCAGATGAAAGTATATATGTAGTATTAGTTATATCAATTTATTAAAATCGTCAAACCCTTCAACACAATTGAAATTTAAATGGTAGACTCCGGTGCGCCGGCCCCTTGGTAATTTCTAGAATCATTAGTACATTGATGTTGAAGAGGTTAAATCAGATGTGAAAGTACCAAACACATTGTAGGTATCCCTGCTACGTTGTGACGTTTTCGAATTCGGAATAAAAAACTCTACCCCGCTCCGCGTCGGTTACTACGCCAACTCGCTCAAAAAAGTACCACTTAATAGTCTGGATCCATAATCTACTATTTCCATCTTCCAAAACTTTGACTATAACTCATTATATGCTCCTTTGTCTATGAATCTCTTCCTATAATCAACTTTTCTGTCAACATGAATACGAGTACTATAATTTCATATTTTGTCTTAATGAGAGCGCTTGCTCGTCTTCAATTACATTCAAATCTTTAATGACCAACATTTTCATTGTCATACGTTCAGTGCCAGGATTGTAATTGTTCACATTTTGTTGCTATTTCTTTCTTTTTAATGTGTTATAGTCATTATTTTTGACCACACATATAACTGTTTCATTTATATTTAGTTGAATGAGGTGGATGTTAAAGAGGATTTAGTTGAAGCCGTAGTTGAAAATGAAGTTAAAGAGAATGTGGATGAAGATAATGTAACCGATGAAGAATTTTGTGAAAGAGGATGCAGTTGAAAATGACTTGAAGGTAGAGAAGAAGAAGAAGAAGAAGAAGAAGA